TCGTAGCTTTTGCAGAGCTGAGCCTCTCCTCGTGGCCTCCTTTCCTTTTGGGTGGGAGGGGGGCAAGGAGAGAGGAGAGAGTGGGGCCCCTCCCACCCTAGTTAGAGCGGGTTTTGAACTCGGTCCCCGGAGGCTGAGACGAGCCTTCAGCTTGCGATGACCAACAGGGAAGCAGCCCAGAGAAGAGAGGATTGACAGCCCTCAGCAAGCTTTGGAGTCGAGGATAAAGGTAGTCCTCGACTTATGACCGCAATAGAGCCCCAGATTTTTGTCGCTAAGTGAGACAGCTGTTCCGGAGAAGTCTTGCCCCGTATTACCACCTTTCTGCCCACCCCGTTGTTAAGTGACTCACCGCGGTTGATAAACTAGTAACCCGGTTGTTAAGCGAATCCATTGACTTTGCTTGGGAGAAGGTCGCCAAATCGCATGACGTCCTGGGACACAGCAACGGTCATAAGTATGAATCAGTTGCCCTGGGCCTGAATTTTAATTACGTGGTCATGGGGTTGCGGGAAAGGTTGTAACTGTGAAAAAAAGGTCATAAGTAACTTGGAACGGTCACTAAACGAACTCTTGTAAGTTGAACAGTTATACTGATGACCCTCATTGAGCCCCAAATTTTTGTCGCTAAGGGAGATAGCTGTGAAGTGAAGTTTTGCCTCGTTTTACGACCTTTCTGGCCTCAGGTTGTTAAGTGAATTAATGCAGTGACTCTGGCAAAGGGTGCCAAAAACAGGTGGTGGTTGTTTTTTTTTACTTGTGACCACAGCTGAGCCAACACTTTTGTTGCTAAGCAAGACAGTGAAGTGAATTTTGACTCATTTTACGACCTTTCTTCCCACAGTCATTAAGTGGATCACTGTGGATGTTACGTTAGTAACACGACTGTTGAGTGAATCTGGATTCCTCATTGACTTTACTTGTAAGAAGGTTGCAAACGGGGATCTCATGAGCTCTGGGTCATTGTCACTGTCATAAATATGAGTCAGTTGCCATTTCTTTTCCATATCAAATTTTATTAATTTTATCAAAATCTATATAAAAGCGAAATACCGTCATCACAAAATTTTTCATAACCGTAAAGCCTACACACTTGAAATTTGGCCTGTAGGTTCCTCTTGGCTTCTAGGTGCTCACTAAGAAAGGATTTTTCAAAATGACCATCAGAGCATTTAGAGTATTTCCTATATTATTATTATTATTATTATTATTATTATTATTATTATTATTATTATTATTATTATTATTATTAACACGCTCTGATGCTAAGGAGTTCTACTCCCCCTCCCCACCTGGAAAAAAATCTCTTCCAAATGCAAAACACAAGCAGAGGGAGGAGTTTCAGTTTCACAGCAGCACCAAGCAGCTTTAGTACAGAACAGTTGAGCTAAGCCATGCCCAGGCTCCTTGCTGTCTCCTTGCTGTCTCCTTGCTCACACAGCAAATACTCTTTCAGTTTCCAAACAGCCCTCAACTCTCTCACACATGGACAGGACACTAGGAGTTTCAGTTTCAGTTTCACAGCACCAAGCAGCTTTAGTACAGAACAGTTGAGCTAAGCCACGCCCAGGCTCCTTGCTGTCTCCTCTTCGCTCACACAGCAAATACTGTTCCAGTTTCCAAATGGCCCTCAACTCTCTCACACACTGACAGGACGCAAGCCAGATGAATACTGTTGGATGCTGGTAGGCAGGGGCACAATTTTTCCCCCTTATTTTCCTCCCCAAAAACTAAGCCCGACCACGTAGTTTTGTAGCAAAGCATGAGGATCGAGCTAGTACAAGATACAGAGGAGAATCCAAAGAAATGGAAAACTAAGGGGAAAGGAAACAAGAGAAAAAGAGAAAATGTGGGGTGGAAAGGGAAACATCAACTTTTTATTAAACCTACTCAGTCTGAATTTTGGCCATGTGGCCAGGAGGATGCTGCAAAGGGTCGTAAGTTTGAAAAAAAGAGTCACCTTTTTCAGTGCCGTTGTAACTTGGAAGGATCAATAAATGAATGGTTGTAAGCCGAGGATTCACCGCACAGGTAGTCCTCGAGTTATGACTGCAACGGAGCCCAAAATATATGTTGCTAAATGAAACATTTGTTAAGGGGACCCATTTAGCCACATTTTGTGACTTTTCTTGCCACCATTGTTAAGTGAATCACTGCAGTTGTTAAGTTGGTCACGCCGTTGTTAAGCGAATCCGGCTTACCCTTCGACTTTGCTTGTCAGAAGGTTGCAAAAAAATCATGTGACCCCCCCCCCCCCCCCGGGGACCCAGCCACCCCCGCAAATATGAGCCGGTTGCCGAGGGTCTGAATTTTTACCACGGGACCACGGGGCATGCTGCAAACGGTCGTAAGCGTGAAAAAAAACGATCCTACGTCCCTTTTCCCCCCCTCCAGGGCTGTTGTAACTCAGAACGGTCACTAAACAAGACTGTTGTAAATCAAGGACTACTTGCAACACAGCTGTTAAAATAATCCAGTTTCCCCGTTGACTCTGCTCGTCCGAAGGGCGCCAAAGAGGCTCGCGGGGACGCTGCAAGCATCACTAAACGGTTATGGTTGTAGGTAGGTCTCCTGCTTGGGCGGGGGGGTGTGGGGTTGGGCTAGATCAGGGGTCCCCAACAACCGGTCCGTGGACCGGTACCGGTCCGCGGAACAAGTCCTACCGGGCCGCTGGCTTGCTGGGCGCCGCCATCTTTTTTTGATGAAAAAGTGCTTCCGGTGAGGTCACCGGAAGCACTTTTTCATCAAAACAAGATGGCGGCGCCCAGCTGATGCCGGTACCGGGCCGCGGCGCCCAGCTGATGCCGGTACCGGGCCGCGGCATAAAAAAGGTTGGGGATCACTGGGCTAGATGACCTACAAGGTCCCTTTCCAACTCTTTTAATCTGTATATCTGCAAATGGACGGTTGTAATTCGAAGACTTCCTGTATCAGCCTTCTTCCTCTTCTTCTTCTTTTTTTCCCCTTCCTTTGCCCCCCCCCCCCCCCCCGCCCCCACAGCCATGGACACCAACGATGCCTTGATTTCTCTGCTCGTCATGGCGGCCATCATCCTTCTGGTGGGCGCCTGCAGACAGCTGGCTTACCGGGGGCTACGGCGGACCACCAACTGGTTCAATTTCGCCCAGGAGTTGACCGCCACGTTCCAGATCTGCGCGTGCACCCACGAACTCTGCCTGCTGGGCAGCTGGCTTCCCCACCCGCAGGTCGCCCTTTGGCTCACTTACATTTTCACCGTCCTCCACGGCTGGACGTTAGCGGGCAGCGTGGGCAACCCGGCCAGCAGCATCCAACACTTTTACAAAGGGCAGCTGAGGGTCCGCGCGTGGTGCTTGCAGACTTCGGCGCAGTTCGCGGCGGCCATCTTGGCTCACCTGTGCATGAAATTAATCTGGATGTTGGGATTCTCCTCCGGCCATTCGAAGGCCCTGCCCGACCTTTGCAGCAACCCCATTCAAACCACCATCAGCAACGCCTTCGGCCTGGAGTTCCTCTTCTCTTTCCTGCTACACCTGACTTTACTCCAGTTTCAAGCCATGAGCCCCACCATAAAAGTCCACCTGGTCGCTTTGCTAATCACCTCTTTCGTCTACGCAGGTTGGTGGGTGATCTTTCCTTCGCTCCCCTCCGACTTAAAACTCGGACCGGGCCTTTTGTTTGGAATACAGGTAGCCGACATAGGGCCACCGTGGAGCGCAACCTTTCTGGGGCTAAGCAGGGCCATGAAGCCACTGTTGCTCCGAGAGTCGTGGTGGAGCAGTGGTTAGAATGCAGTCTTGCGGGGGGGAAAAGCAACGGTTAGCAAGTTACAAAACAGAAAGGGGAAATTCGCAGTAAGGCTTAACTTGGAAAGGTAGTCCTCCGGCCGCGGGATACTACTTGTTCTACTACCAGTTTGGTGATCGCGCATGCACAGGGGTGGGATTCTATCTAATCCAGTGATAGCTAACCTATGACACGCGTGTCACTCGTGACACGCCGAGGCACCTTGACTGACACGCCTGTTGGTGTGGGGAAAACCTGCACATTTAGAGGCTGCCTGTGCTCTGCTCCAATCCCTGCTCCCTGCTTGTTGCGTGGAGGCGTGGTGTCACCGCTGCCGCAAGATCTTTGCAGCAGAGAACCAGTTTTAACCGCCATAAACTGAGGTTTGTCAGTTTCATTACCTCAGGAACGCTACAGGAGGAAAGGAGATCCATGAGGTTCACAGCCCTGTAAGGTGGCCTTCCGATCCCCACATCCTGCACCTGCAGCCCTGAGACCAGGGAGACGAGTTTCACAGCCCTGTGTGATCACCCCAGCCCAGTCCATCATAAACCAAATTATTGATATTTATTATGACACACGACCCGAGGAAGGCTACACTTTTTCCCGATTTTCGACACACCAAGCTGAAAAGGTTAGCCATCACTGATCTAGTCAGACCGGTTCTATAGAACCGGGTTGTTACGATTCTGCCCAGTTTGGACAACCAGCAAATTGCACCACTGTCTGGCTCCACCCCGCCCTACCCACTCAATCCTTACTTGGCATGCGCACCATCCAACTTGCCTGTGTTAGCCTAATTTTTGGTAAGATGCTATTTTTCCTCCCGCCCCCATTAGCTGTTCCAACTACCAGCTGTGCTGGGAGATTTAGATTAGCTACAAAGCAGGAAATCCTTGGATTTCTTGCTTTCTAGCTAATCTAAAAGCAGAGCCGAACCTTCCTTAGGACTGAAGCTTCTACTTTCCAGTGCAGACTCAGGTAGCCGATTGTAGATAGATAGATCTCGAAGTGAATCTGTGATTCTGTGAGCAACTCAATCCGCCTACCTGCTTTGCCTGATTTTGGGTGAAAGTTGCTCTTTTTTATATATATAAAAAAATCAATATTTACATAATGGTGTGTTGTGAGTTAATTTTCTGAGTTTGCTTGCTAGCAAATTTTCTGAGTTTGCTTGCAAGCAGATTTGATATGACAGGCTCAGGCAGCAGATTGCAGAATGGTAGATCCCTGAGTAAATCGGTGATTCTGGGAGCAACTCAATCTGCCTGCCTGCTTTGCCTGATTTTGGGTAAAAGCTGTTTTTTTTTAAATAAAAAATTCCAATATGTACATAATTTTTTGCAATATTTACATACAAGCCACGCCCAGCCAGTCATGTGACCACCAAGCCACACCCACAAATTAGGCCACAGCTACAGAACCAGTTGTTAAGAAATTTGAATCCCACCCCTGCACACACAACCTAATGCATGCGCACCTAATGTGCGCGCACACCTTTCCCCACTTCTTTCTTTTTCTCAGCTGATCGTGGGAGGCCTTTTTTTTTTTTTTTGCTAGTGGTTCGGACGAGCCGTGCCAAACCGGTAGCATTCCACCACTGTAGTCCTCGTTTAGTGACTGCCTCGTTTATTGAGCCTTTGCGGTTACCACAGGGATGAAAAAGTACAGAATAGAACAACAAGAGTCGGAAGGGACCTTGGAGGTCATCTAGTCCAACCCCCCCCCAAGCAGGGAGGAACCCTACACCATTTCAGACAAAGGGTTATTCAATCTCTTCTGAAAAACTTCCAGTGTTGGAGCATTCGCAACTTCTAGAGGCCACGTTGTTCCTTGTAAGTGGACAACTCAACCTTTACAACCTTTGCGGGTCTGCAAAGCGAAGGAAAGCTGGAGTAAGATTTGCGAGCACAGTCCCGGTTTCGCTTAGCGATTTGCTTGGCTGAATGGCCGAGAGATAATTACATAATAAATGCACTTTCAAGGAAGAGCTTCTCGTAAGAAAGAGCGCATTGCATTCCCCAAACCCTGCATCTGCCAAATGCGGCGTCTCTCTTCCATAAGATTCTTTCCGTCAGCCACTTTTGCTGAATCACAATTTGCAGCTCAGCTCAGCTCGTTGTGCTTTTTACGGCTCAGGTCCAGCATAACTGGGCTGACTGAAAAAGCCTTTGGAATAATATCCGATATGCTGTGTTAATCGATGGAAAGAAAAAACAACAACCCCGTTTCCAATTCTAATAATGCGAAAC